CTGTTACAGACATCCTGTCACAAACATGCTGTTACAGACACTGTGTTACAGACACGCTGTTACAGACACTTTGCTACAGACAGCCTGTTACAGATAACTTGTTACAGACACCTTGTTACAGACAACGTGTTACAGACACGCTGTTACAGACTCGCTGTTACACACTCGCAGTTACACACTCGCAGTTACAGACACGCTGTTACAGACACCCTGTTAGAGGCACGCTGTAACAGACACGCTGTTACAGACGCGCTGTTACAGACAAGTTGTTACAGACAGCCTGTTACAGACAGCCTGTTGCAGACAGCTTGTGACAGACAGCCTGTTCCAGGCACTCTGTTACAGACACCCTGTTAGAGGCACGCGGTAACAGACAAGCTGTTACAGACACGCTGTTACAGACAAGTTGTTACAGACAGCCTGTTACAGACATCCTGTTACAGGCAGCCTGTTACAGACAGCTTGTAACAGACAGCTTGTAACAGACAGCCTGTTATAGAGACTGTGTTACAGACAGCCTGTTACAGACAGCCTGTTGCAGAAACCCTGTTATAGATATCCTGTTCCAAACATGCTGTTACAGACATGGTATACAGACACGCTGTTACACACACGCTGCTATAGTCAGCTTGTTACACACATCCTGTTACAGACAGCCTGTGACAGATACCCTGTTACAGACAGTGCTAGAAACATTCTATAAGTAATGTAATGTTTTACGTAACGTCTTACGTAACGTCTTACGTAACGTCTTACGTAACGTCTTACGTAACGTATTACGTAACGTCTTATGTAACGTCTTACGTCTTTCTACTTAGATTTTAGAGACACGCTGTTACAGTCACCATGTTACAGACGGCCTGTTACAGACAGCCTGTAACAGACACCCTGTTACAGACATCCTGTTACAGATATTCTGTTATAGACACGGTGTTACAGACACGCTGTTACAGACACGCTGTTACAGACATCTTGTTACAGACAGCCTGTTACAGACAGCCTGTTACAGACACTATGTTACAGACAGCCTGTTACAGATACCCTGTTACAGACACGTTGTTACAGACACCCTGTTACAGACACCCTGTTACAGACACCCTGTTACAGACAGCTCGTTACAGACACCCTGTTACTGACACCCTGTTACTGACACCCTGTTTTAGACACCATGTTAC